TTAAAAATAAACAAAAAGAAATTATAAATTCACAGCTGGAACTTCTGACTACCTGATGTAGGTCTGTATGAGTGCTCTTTTGTCCTATGAATGAGCAAAATAGCCAGGGGTTGAAAGTTGTTTTGAAGTTAGATTCTTCTGTTTCTTGAGCTTAGCATTACACACTAAGTCTCTTCAGATGTCACAGTGGTTTTGTTTATGTTCTGCTCAAATGTTAAGACATTTGTAAAAAAAAAAAAAAAGAAAAAACAATAGAAAAAAAAATCAATGTTGCTATAAATTATTTAGCTGTTTTGATGTATCTTCCATCAGTGCTGTTCAGCTCTGCATGACCCTATCCAAGTGTTACTGCACGGAAGTGACTCAATTCTGGTCAGATATGTTCAGCAGCATCTTTGTTGCAGTTGTATTGCATATTGCTGAAAATGGTGTTAGTGTGACTATAGGAAAAAATCCTCCCTTAATGCTAATGCAATAGTTATGTTGTCTTCAGTTTGTACTGCTACCTTTTAGGTTCCTCAATATGTAGATAAATGTGACACTAAACCCTTGTACTGAAGTTCCAGATTGTGGCTTCAGTTACATTTGTGATGGCCCGTTGGGCCCAATGGATTTGTGCTGATATAAGTCAAAGTAACATTTATTTATAAATCATTATTACATTCTTAATAAAACAATTTATATTGCAATTTGGACAACTAACTATAAGAAAATTACCATTAATGAAAAAAATGTATTTTTCTACCATTTTTAAGCAAATAATCAGACGAAAAAGTAGTAGTTTTCTGTTTTTTTCTGAGCTTTTTTTGGGAATGCTGCCTTGTGAACCCAGCTTTTGAATCAGCAAACCACTAGAGTCTGATAGGATTTTTGCAACTGTTAATTTATGGCTTCAAGAATAAACTGTTAGCAAAGAAGGAACATAAGGTCGCAGCATTGGAGCAAACCATCCAGATGTAGTTTTATCTTGACTTAGCATTTTGTGGAATGTTGCAGCTGTGTTTAATTCACCTTAAACTGGGCATCCCACTTGAGTTACCTTTCTATTCATCCCATCCAGTTTGATGCTGACAAGTTTACCAATCATATTAGCAAATAAACTGTGTTGCCAGCCAACCAGATTATCAAACAGAAGTTTGGTGCATCCTCTAAAGAGAACCACTGTATTATCTGCAGTCTGATCATCTGTGTGTCTTTTCTGCAGGATTCTTTGCAATGGAGTCATTGGAAAGAACTGGAAGAGAGTCGGGAAAGACAGTTCAGGATCCTTCAACATGGCTTCATGGCCCGAGAAACAGCTCAGAAAATGGCTGCCTATGAAGCAGCAAAAAGTGGAGCTACAGTTTGTATATTCCACTCTGAAGTAAAATAAAATACATTTGGAACAAATTCAGGCCTTCTGGAAATCTCCTAGTGTGCCCATTTACTACAAGGTTTAATTTTAATCTTTATTTCACCTTTACAGTGTGATTAGAAAAATTTGGGTCATACAGGTACAATAGAGTAATAACTTGTTAATTTTTTTTGCAATAGAATTTTATTTTTATGCTATTATGATGCATTTTTTTTCTGTTAGAATCAAAGCTTTAAGAAACTGAAACCTTACTATCATAGCTCCTACAATAAAATGACAAATACCTGGGTAAGAATGTTGACATCTGTATTTCTGTTATCGTTGTATACTATGCCATGGTTTGCTATGCTCATCTTCCAAAAGAATAAAAATGAGAGCAAAAACCAAGCAACATTTGTTTACACATGCATCTTACCAGAAGGCATGGTCAGCCCAAGTTCCTAACATGTCTTCTTACCAGACAGTAACTGTAAGAGGATCACGAGTTTCAACACCGGTTTTAGAGGATGAATGAAAAACTGTTTAGAAGGTTTAGATGATGCGATAGCTTCCAGGAGCCAGAGTCTAGATTCAGTGACCCAGACAGACCACCACTCTATTCGCAGATGTGAATCTCCTCAGTCTTTAAACAGTAGAAGGAGAGAAGGAGAACATAACATTGTTTGATCTCTTCAGGGAGCATGTTCCAGAAAAAGCCAAAATTTTGTTACTCACCTAGAAGATAATTTGCCCTCTACGACAATGTATATACTGTGTGAAACAGCCTCTGAATCACAAGACTTATTCTAGGCACAAAGCCAAGGAGAATATAAATCTGAATTAAAATCTGCACAGCCGTAAGACTGTAGTGTATTTATATTTTAACTTGATGCCAGTTACTAAGTGTTTAATTATGGCTATTGCAAATATTTAAATTGAAGGAGCTTGTCGCTGACATTAGAGTCAGACAGCTGCTTTTAACACTCTCACATTACATTTCTCACTTTTTACTGAAGGAAGTCTAATGGAATTCTTTTGTTGCCATCTAGCTGTGAAGATCACTTCCACAATCCACAAGCTGATTAAATGTGCTGTATTTTTTGTTCAAAGTAAATGCTACAGTAGTCCGTGAAAGCAATGTAGGGTTCATGCTCTGTATGAAGAGTTAAGGAACACAGGAGAGTGAAAAGAAGGGATCATAGCAGGAGAACTACAAAGAAGAGTGAACTACAACACTGTCTAGTAGGGTACTGTAATACAACAAACCCTTGGTGGCTGGGAGATTACCTTCATTTGCACTTGTTCAGTATTCTGTGGCATTGTATTCCAGAACAACAAAGACAAGTGGTGACTGTAACACCTAGGTTTTCCAGAAGCTAGCAATTAACAGGGCTCACAGTCATGGTCTGGGATATTGCAGAGCTGAATATTTCCTCTTAAACTTTTTGATGTGTTTTGCATTTTGAGAATTAAAAAACAAAACAAAACAGAACACCACCACCACCAACAACAACAACAAAACAACAGCAAACAAACAAACAAACATCATTAAGCAAATAGATAGGAAGGTGTATTTAGGTAGGTAATACAGAAATTGCAAAAACATATCATGCTGCATGCTTCCTCCCCTGTGCTGTTGGACCCAGTTTTCAAAATTCTTACTGAATTGCAATCAAATTGATTCATAATTATTTCCTTCTCCACGTTTTCCCTGCTCTCAAATGAAAGGCCTGAGCAATAGAGGAATCTCAATAATCCAGCTCTGGAATTTTTAGCTTCAGAAGTCACAGGTAACCCTATTGCTACTTTAGGATCTGATTAATAAAGTCATCTTCAGAATCAGTGTTTGGAGGAACATAAAAGAATGTGAGTCTTTTGGGAAAAATATCAAGATATGTCTATATTGATATTTTTATTGCATATTATATAAATGTATATAAATTTATATTCTTTAATATTATATATCCCTATATAGATATTTTTGTATCAATATAGCCTATTGTTTTTTCAGTGATGGTAGATCTTGCAACAGAATACACAGAATAATATTAAAAATACCACATTCCTCCTGACAAACATGGATAATTTGATGTTGGGAGTCAGCAGATCCTATCCAAAACTACTCTGCCCCCAGACACTAAAACACCTTCTCTAGTATTCCTGTTCCAGCCATGTATAACAAAACCTGAGGTGATCCAGTGCAGAGCTGGGAAATGTCTGCTAGGACTTAGCGTTATATTACAAAAGCAGCTGTAATGCCAATTGAGCCAGGTAAGCTTTGAAGCAATACAGCTGCATTCACACCACTGCCTCAGCTAGTGTCTGTGACACAGATCCTCCACAACCTGGTTAATCCACCTTCATGGAAACACAGGTGGATGAATAATTCATGATTCATTAATTTACACATTTGTTACACTCTTCACAGCCAATAAGATGAAGGTAAGTGCACAAGGCTGACTCTTAAATCATCTAACAAAACAGACTTCCAAAATCAGAGGTTTCACCTGTCTGATCTTAGTGTCAGACTCATTAAGTAAACCCTTTCAGTGCCAAAAGCTGCACATTCCAGAGGTCTCTTATTTCAGTGTAAACGGACACATCACAAAAGTCTTCACATGCAAGGACTGTGTAACAAGGTGTAACGAGGCCCAGATTACCTGAGGAAAACCCAGGGGTTTCAGCGCTGCAATGGGCAGCGGACACAGGGTGCTTGCTCCTCATGTAGCACAGTCACTGCTGGGGGACACTTGGCTCCCTCTTCCAAACCAGTCCTGGTAATGAGGCAAAGCACCGTGTTCAGTGGCTGCCTGGCCAGGTAATCGACCTGTCCTAGAGAGCACAGTTATTTTATTATTTAAATGAAACCAAAACCATAGACACCGTTAAAAGAAAAAAAAAAAAAAAAAATGCACCTAGTACAAATCTCAAGTGCCTTTCACCCAGGGAGGAGATGGCAAAAAAGTCGCCCAGAAAAAGGTACACGTTTCCCTACAAACATCCAAATAAGCAGGCACAGGGCAGCAAGACCCAAGAAAGGCCAGATGACCCTTGCATTGAGTCAAAGTAACTGGTGAAAACGCCTTTCGATGGTGAGGTGAGGGCATCAAAACACCTCTGCAAGTGTTTATTGGCAGCTAAATAAAGGATCTGGACTAATTTTGCCACAGGCAGCTGATGAACTCACAGGTTGATGGCTCTGATGAACTTGTCTCAGTGCCTTGGAAAGATTTCCACAAGACTGGCATGGGAGATGGGGAACCCCCAAAGCTCACGCACACACACAGAGCCTGGTACACCACTGCAGAACACTGCAAAAGCAGAGTCCTGCCTCAGCCACCCCCTCTTTCAGGGTCCACCACGGCCGACCTAACCCAGGGAGCGAGAAGTCTCCCCGGAGCTGGCCAGGCCCAGGCGGCCCGCCGTGAGGGGGCGTCGGGCCGCGGGCCGCCCCGCACAGGCCGCACGCCCGCTCCGCCCCCAGCCGCGGGCCAAACTACAACTCCCAGCATGCCCCGGGGCCGGGCAAGAGGCCCTCGCCGCCTCCTAACTGACGGGCGCGACGGCCACTCCGCGAGCCGTAGCCTCGCCGCCCCCGTCCAATAGCGAGAGAGCGGGGGCGGGCGCTGCCTGACGCCGCCGCCGGGCCGGGTGTTGGAGGTGAGTGCTGGAGGCCGGGGGGTTCTGTCGCGGGGCCGGGACCGCGCAGCCGGGAGCGGCACCGCCGCCCTTGGGCTCCCCTTGCCCTTCTGAGGCGGTCGAGGCGGCAGGTGAGGAGAGGGGAGAGCGGGGAGCGGCGGGAGGCAGCCGCGGAAGGCAGCCGCGGAAGGCAGCCGCGCCCGGCCGCGGTGGGGGAGGGGCGGGCCGGGCCGGGCCGGGCCGGCGCTGAGAGGACGGGGGGCAGGCGGGGCTTTTTCCGCCGGTGCGGAGAGCCGGGCTCCGCGATACGGGACCGGGCTGCGCCAGTGCTGTTCTCTTCTCTGGGGCGGGGATGGGGACCCCAGCTCCTTCCCCCGGGCGTGGAGCGGGGGCACCGAGGCAGCCGCCCTGAGGGGCTGCCCCTCAGCTGCTGCCGGCCTGCCCTCGCTCCACCTGAGGTGCTGTGTGGCGTGCGCCGCTTTCCCCCTCCCTTGGCCCTGGGTTATTTTCATCTTTCTGCCGCTTTGAGGGGCTCCAGGGCCTGCGAGCGCCCCTGCCCGGCTCTTCGGGCCGGCTCTGGCCGCTCCTGCCCTCCGCGCCAGGCGGCCGCCAGCTCGGAGGTGCGGGTACAGTTGGGCCCGCGCCCGCTTTCCGCCCCGTATTCCCTCGCAGGCGAGACTGTCCGGCCCTTGCAGGTTGCTCAGCCTCCGGTGCTGCTGGCTGGGTCATAAACTGCATCTGCTGTAAGGGCCGTTCGGAGGGTGTCCCGAAGTGGCTGAGACAGGCGAGTGCCTGAGCAGAGAGGACGGCGTGCCTGCTCTGCTCTGGAGGAACAGGAGAGGCTCCGTGCATGCAGATGTAGTTCCGTGGAGTTGTTAGGCTGTCCTCCCATTTTGTGTGACAGCAAGAGTGGAGGGAACTCTTCTTTCCTATCTCAGCATCCCCCTACACCTTTATTACAGTTTGTGAAATGACTCAATTTATTTTTCCTTTTTTTCTGTATCTCTTTTTGATTCTATTGAACATAAGCTGTAGCCTCTCTCACAGAAACTTATGCCCATAAGAGCAGTGAGAAGCTTTTCTTCTGGCCAGTCTTCATCTTTTTTTGTTGTTTCTGAAATAGGACATCCGTTTTGCTCTGTGGGTGTTTTGTTAACTTCTTGGGTTTGGTTTGGGGTTTGGTTTTTTTTTGTTGTTGTTTTGTTTTTTGTTAAGCTGCTCATAATCATATGTTTTATTTGTCTGTAGATGTAGCTGACAGCGTAGAGCAGGCAGGCTAGTATATCTCTATGGTAGACTGTTTACCTCTCATCTTTACTCTTTTTATAGTGCATCTCATCAAGCTTTTATAGTATGGAACTGCTTGACCTAATTTGGATAAAACATAATAGACTCAGCTTCTGTTTTCACTAAAGTTGCTGTAGTGCATCTGAAAAAATGAGAATGTCTTTAAAGGTACTGAAAATAGACAATAGGGAGGTTTTGAAAGAGTAAAATGGCAGATTGCTGTTCTCTGTGATAAAGAAATTGAAGACTAGAACTGTGTGATAAGTGCATCTTCTGACCACAGAAAAGTTTTTTATGCATGCTGTATCTTTGGTACTGTGTTTCCAGTTGTTAGGAGTGCAAAGAAATGTAGAAAGAGTAGAAACAAGAAGCAAAGTCTTAAAGGCATAGCATACCATGTTTTGGCAAACACTATGTATACTGTTTTTGTCACCTGTACCTTGCCCAAACCAAACATTTAGAGTGACATTATTACTATTTTCAAGTAGTTACTTTAGTGTATTTGTAATGTTTAGGATGATTATGAAGTAAAGTCTTGTTTATGTTAGTGAGACACAGTAAAAACTCTTATTTCTTGCTTAAGCTAATTTACCTCAATTGATGCTAAGCATGTAGGAGATCAAGACTTTGTTTTTAGAGTGGTGTAAGAAAAGTAAGTTTGTGTTGTCCAGATAATCCTTTTTTTTTTTTTGAATTGTAATTCAGACGTTAAATTAGGTCAACTTGAACTCAGTGAAAATGTTAATTTTTTTTATAGAGGAAAAAATTTAACAGGAGACTTATATGATGAATATGGGGATCAATACTCTAACTCCTAGTACAAACATCTTCAAGTAAAAGGTAAAGCCATTTAACTTGAAGATGTTTGTACTAGGAGTTAGAGTATTGATCCCCATATAATGGCTTTACCTTTTATTTTTTTCAAGTACTGGTGGACATAGTCCTTAAAATACTAGTGAGTTAGAATAAGCTTTGAACTTTGTTGTTATGAGAACAACACTACTTAAGCCCTTGGGAGAGCTAAATGACAGGAACAATAACTGCATGTGCAGATCTCTCTGTATGAGAGGAAGGGGGAGTGGATTTTTCTGGTACTGCATTATCCTGCAGTGATGCAATAAAAAGTCTGTAAAAGTTAAAAATATTTATTGGCTTACTAAATAGATCTGCTAAGTTTTCCACATTAAAAAAGTATTTTTTACTTTTTTAAAGAAACCTTAATTCTAGAATTTTGAATTGATATCTGAATGCATCTTGCTACAGGTGTAACAGATGAGTTCGCTAACAGCTTCAGCTGGAGTTATTTGATGCGTATGGGTTGAGGGGGGGAGGTTGATGCAGTAACTATTTGTATTATCCAGTTGTGGGAGTCTTGGTGCTGGGTGTCATAGAAACTGTTGGAGGAGGGGCATATAGATCTTTTAATTTAATTTGGCTAACCAGTGTGGTGTAACAAATCATATTATTGAGTGGTCCTGAGGTTTTGAAAATCCTTAAGGAATTCTTAGCAATGAGTATGTCTCTAAATGTGCAAAACTTGGAACTGTTTTGTTTACTTCTGTTATTGTGCACTTCTAACTTGATCTGTGATGTATTCAAAAAAATAAAGCAAAGCTTACTTTTGCTACCCATTCTTACAGTTCGAGTAGTTAGCTTTCAGTGAAATTTCCTGAGCAAATCAGTAACATATGGAAATCTATAGCCCCACAGAAGAAGCTTCTCTTACAAGACAACAGTGTTGCTGGATCATGAGACTCCTTCCATCGTCTTAATAAATCCCAGCAGTCTGATTTTCTTTATAACTGACTCTACTGAGTTGGGTTGTGTTGATACTTATGAATGATGAGTGTCAAACCACACCACCTGCCTAGGGTAATTTGTTTTAATGTGGTTTTACAGTGATGAGCTTCCTTATGGGTATCCATTCTCAACTTTCTTCAGAAGCTTCTCATGAGGTAAAGATTTGAGCCATTAGCATCTAAAACATTTGTGCCTTATGCGTACTCACTGTATGAAGTATAACGAAATCTTACTGCTGATGTAAAATTCTGAAAATTAAACCATCTAAATAGCAGTGGTGCCCTCTGTCACTTAGTTTGAGAAGTGGCTCTGTCCCTTGTTGCCTTTGAGGTCTGATACTAGATCCTCTGAGACATGTTGTAGCAATCCTATAAATAATCTATTCCTTGGTATCCTGGTAAAGTAGTGTGTAGAGTATTTACCTTGGGTAAGGTGGTCTTAGCATGACAGGTCTTCTATTCTGTATTACTTCAGTTTTCTTTTCACCATAATTTTCAGATTTAAGTTGCTTTGGTTTGTTTGTTTGGGGTGAGGGGTGTTGTGTTGTTTTCTTTCTATGATATCTCTTTGGCACTTAAACCACTTGTGGCCAAAGAGAATCTGTGCAACGCTTTGGGAGTCATCCCAGGTACTTGCTCCCCCCCATATTTTTAGCCCTTTCTTAAGGTACTTTGTCAATATACCATTGCACTGGATTGTATTCAGTGTTATATCTGAAAAGCACTGGGTCTTGTAAAACTTTCTGGGTGTTTTATATCCAAAACTCTGCTGTCTAGTGAATATGTCAAGCTTGGGTTTTTGCTGTCTTTCAACAGTGTAGATACATCAGATTGCTCTGAAAATTTCTATTTAAAAGCAGTTATAACAACTTGTAATTTAAAAAAAGCTTGAGTTTATTTCTTTATAACCCTCAAAGGTGTGTATCAACTAACATTTTCCAGCTTTTTAATGTCTCAAGAATTTTTTCCAATTCCCTATCTGAGGAGAATCGAGGAAGATGCATTGGCTCTCTTGACAAAATAAACTTAAAAATAATCTAATGGCATAACTTCTTAATATACCTCACATGTTGCTCAGTCTTTTTCATCTTCCTGCTCAGAAAACTGCTTTGCCTAAGTTATCTTCCATTTTGTTTGTAGCTGTTACATTAAGGTGATAGATTGTCTTTGAGCAATTAGTTTGAAAGCACAGATATGCTGGGTTTAGGCATGATTCTCTCTCTTGCCCTAGTCACTTGTGCTGTGTGTCCTCCTTGCTTTACCTCCCCTTCCCCTTGTTTCCAAAAACCTTTAAACCTATGCATAATAATCATATGGAATGATGAACTCCTGTGGCACCTTGAAAATGTGCTTACAGAACAGTCTCTATGTTTTGTATGAGTGCAGAATTAGGCATGGTCTTACTTAAGCCCTTGTTGCCTATTTCAAAAATTCAGTGAAGGGAGTAAAATAGAATCTTCCCAAGAATGTTGGTAAGGCTGGCAGAAGAGCTTTCTTCCATAACAGGTGAAATGAAATCTAGATCTTAAGCACAGTGGGGTGAAGTGTGCAAAGAAAACTTGCATTACCTGGACACAGAACTTTATAAAAATGGTTGTGTAGGCAAGTCCTGCACTGGGGAAGCAGGAGACGAAAGTCAGTTCCCAGCTTTCCTCTGATAGCAAACTCCGAGCCTTAGTCTTCAACATCCGAAGTGAGAACATAATTGCTCACATTTGCAAGAAAAACTATAGATGTAAGCCTAGATTTTTAAAAGACATCTTAAAACTATCAAAACTGGTTAGGTTCATATTGGGAGAGGGAGTTATGTGTAACAGTTCTGAAAATTTCATCTACTATGACCAGAATCTGCCTGGGAGCTCACTGATCGTTAAGTCTGGCTGTCCTGGGTTGAGTGAGTGGTGGAGTTTTTTGGTGGCAGGGGAGGGGGCTATAGGGGCGGCCCCCTGTGAGAAGCTTCTTGAAGCTCCCTCAGCTCCAAGTCAGCTCCACTTCTGTTTGGAAAATTGAGCCAATCAGCTGCGCCTCTGTGATAATGTATTTAAGAAGGGATGTGGTGATGAGCAGTCGGACTTGTGAGGAGGAGTTGCTGCAGCTGCGTGAACACCAAAGTCAGTGGAGGAACAGAGGAAGAAAGGAGGGGGGAGGTTTGCTGGAGCAGAGACCCCCCCTGTATCCTGTGGTGAGACAGCAGGGCAGCCCCCCCCCGCCACCCATGAAGATCTGCGGTGGAGCAGACATTGATTTATGGCCTGTGGCTTCTGCTTGCCTGATCAAGGTTCTGTGCCCGAAGAAGGCCGGGGTCTTGTGGGAAAAGGTATCCCCGCTGCTGTAATTCAGTGCTGGGAGGATTGCAGCATTCAGGGGAGTCCCACGCTGGAGCAGCTCGGGAAGGGCTGCAGCCGTGGGAGGGAATCCAGTCGGAGGAAGTTAGTGACCCATGACGGAGCAGTGTGGGGAACGCTGCGGCCCATGGGAGGAACTCATGTTGGGGAAAGTTTGTGGAGGACTGTCTCCTGTGAGAGGGGGACCATGATGGAGCAGGGGGAAGAAGTTCTGGAAACTCCCCTCACCGAAGATAAAGGAAGTGGCAGCACTGACTGCACCCCCCATTCCCTGCCCCTGTGGGGAGGAGGTAGAGATATCGGGAGCAGAACTGAGCCCGGGAAGAAGGGAGGGGTGGGAGGAAGGTGTTCTCAAGATGTGGCAATGCTTCTCACTGTCCTACTCTGTTATGTGTTGTTAGTGTCTGTAATAGATGTATGTTCTTTTTTTCTTCCCCTAACGAGTCTGCCTTTTGCTCATGATCATAAAGGGGAATTTTTCCCCATCCCAGTCCTATCTTGAACCCCAAGCCTGGCTCTCTGTCCCTTCTCATTGCCGGAGGGGAAGGGAGAGAGAGCTGCTGCATGGTGGTTGGCTGCCATCCAGGCCCAAACCACAACACTGGCATATAGCAAGTGGTCCAAGTGGGGAAAACAAACCAACAAACGAAAAAAAAAAAGCATGTTGACTTTTATTTTAGCTTTTACCAACCCAGTGCCAGTTTTAAAATTAAAAAATGGGAGAAAAAGCATGAGTGGCATATTGTGTTGCTTAAAACTGTGCATAAATATATTTGGACTTTGTAAAAGTACCAAATTTAGTGTAAGGATTTTTTCACAAGCATGCTTTGCTTTGATAATGTTACAGTTCAGTGTTAAAGGATATCTTAATAAAGTCAGTGCTTTAAGAAATAGAGAAAGTTTAAGGGGGGAGAAAAAAAAAAATCAGTCAGGCTTCCTTTAATTCAAGGTTATGACTGCCTACCAGGGCCTTTCCATCCCACTTCATGGTCTAAGTGTTTCTTAATCTGAGAATATGTTAATGGTGTGTGTTCTGCACTTTGCAGTGTACATCAAGGTCAGTATTGAGAAGACAATTCTGCAGTTCTTGTTTAACGTAATTGTTTTTTTCGTGGTCCCTCCACTGTCTTTTCCCCACCATAGCTCCTCTTTGTGTGTTAGACACATAACACATGAGCAAGCTTTAAGATGTGAACTTCAGTACCATGTCAGATACTCATAGCTGACTTGATATTTTTCATCTCTTCCCACCTAGCAGTGAGCTGTCTGGTGGGTATGTGCTTGCACACCTACACTTACCACAGGGTAGCTGCTGTAAATTTGTATTCTCTTGCAGATCCACAAGTATTTCTAAACTGAAATTTCACTGGTCTGTTTCCTTTAGATTCCTCTCAAGCTGTCCAGCTTCCACCTGTTGGAATCTGGATATGGGCTGGAGAAGAGAACTCTGTTTATCTGGAATTTTTTATTCTCTGAAAATGGCTGCTTATGACACAATTCCCAATGATTCCTGCCCACATATAAACATTTCCTTGAGAGTCAATCAGTTGCTTTTCAGTTAAGCTTCATTGGGATTCCTTCTTATGATTTTTCTACCTTGCTAACAAACTAGCTTATTCTGCTGTTTAGTTTAGGAAATGAGTAAGAATGACTGAGGCTTCAGGCTCAGCTGCAGGTGTCTGAGGCTCAAAGACCAAAGTCTGGGACTTCTCCTCTAGCTTTGGACAGAAACTGGTGACTCGGGAATGGGAATCTTGGAGAGGGGTTGTATTTAAGAGGACAAACATTCCAGGTAGGTAATCTTCTCTCTTCTTTTCTTATAGGTTTGGAAGAACATTGTTCTCAGACCCTGAGAAATCTGGACTTTGTAACACTGTGTCTGCCAAAAGGACTATAAGGAATTGATACTTCCTTGTAATTGATTGCTTCCTTGCAATTAGTTTTTTGGTGTTTGTACCTCTTATTTTTCTGTGGATTTTGGATCGAGAAACACCATGAGCACAGTAAGTGTTTTACTACTCGAGGCAAACCTGATTCTTAAAACATGTTTTTTGTGGTACTTCTACAAATGTTTTTAAGAGTTTGTAGTAAATGTACTGGGATGTAAGCATATTAAAAGCTCATGTACCTTCGTGTTCTGTGATACTTCAGATTTTTGATCTCTCTAGGTGCTAGCAATAGTTCAGAAGAGCTTAGAAAAAACCCGCTATAATTGTGAGCAGGTCTTTTCACTAGCAAACCATTAGGATATGTTTTTTCTTTGTGAGCCAACTGGTAAGAGATCTGGGGTGCTGTCTTGTCCCTGACGTGACACGTTCAGGTAGGAATGACCCATTGCACCATTTGATGCATGTGATGGCCTTTCTGGGGGTTGTTTTGAGTATCCTTGTGTGCTTTCATTGGTGCTGCAAAAATGAGGGCGACGTGAATATTACTCCTCAATGCAATGCTAAGGCTCTGTTCTCTCTTAGACTCAGCGAAAGCGCCGTGGAGGAGCAGTTAATTCCCGGCAGGCTCGGAAACGAAACAGGCTGGCAGCTTCTACTGCAGAAATGGCTTCAGAAGCAGAACCAATAGAACTTGAAGAAAGTGGTAAACTTTCTTTTTAACATGGTGGGAACATAAAATGATTCTGGAGGGTTGGAGTCCGACTTATGAGGTGTTTTTGCCAGTTTCTAGGCTGCTCACTGGAGAGGAAGGGAAACCTCTTCTTTTAAAAATGCCTAGTATGGCATGGATAATCAACAAGCCTACTGCCAACTGGTTTACTTTGTTACTGAGGTGCAATACATTCACCACTAGTGATAGAGGAGCTGTGTAAGAAAGGGACTCAAGTGTTGCTCAAACCTGTGAATGTCTACTCTCATGAGCTGGGAGTCACTGCAGCTGCCACTACAAGTAGTGGCAAACCAAGTTTGGGAAGTCCCAAGTTTTAAGAAGATAATATAGACATTTTGTCATTAGTCAGGCCCCATCTCTCAAGGTAGAGGCAATACTTGGTCAATACACTTTCATGTGAAGTGCTAGAATCTAAAATGCCATTTGACTTTCTAAATGGATATTTAAATTGCCTTCTGAAATCCTACGAAAGATTAAAAGTAGCTGTTGGTCTTGAGGTAATTGATTGTTTTTTTCAGTTTTTGGTCTATATTTGACTATGAAGGGTTGGAATAGAGATGAGATAGGAACATTTGCAGCACAGTACTGTAAAATTATTATATCTTACAGGATTCATATTTTATTCTGTGTGATAAACATTCTCCCGTTAGCTGAATAATCTGGTGCTGTGTACCTCCCACAAGCTGTTGTCATACAACAAAACTGAGTGAGGAACTCGGCCGCTCTTCCTCTTGCATTGCAACTTGCAGAGGACACTGGTGGTAATGCTCTAGATGGACTGTTGAGGGCAAAGCTTGAGTGAAATGCTGGATACGTTCCTGAAGAGAAGAGGGATACGGCAAGGTTGAATCATACCTCAGCCTGTTACATAGTGGCAGGCAGTTTTATTCCTCTGTAATCTCTGATCTTGATTCTAACATTTTGTTTTTAAGCTGGTGAAGAAGTAGTAGATCTCACATGTGAATCTTCTGACCCTGTAGTCGTTGATCTAACTCACAATGATTCTGTTGTGGTAAGTCACAAACAGCACACTTATCCAAATCTTGTAGTCAAGATACTTTTCTGTTGTGCTTCTTGATAGACTCTCGCTTGAAGGATCAGTTTTAAGGTCAAAGTTGACTTGTCAGTGCATGAAAGCCATGTGTTATGGGTCAACACAGAAGCTGCTCTGGAGGTTCACTTGCAGATAGTGAGGGGGTAATCTAACACAGGTTGATGAATACGGAGATTGGGGAGCAGGGAGGAGGGTGTTCCACATGGTTCATAAGATGCCTCCATTTCTATCCCTTTGCAGCATCGCGAACAGAACCAGGTGCAACCACTTGTTTTCAGAGCAGCAGCTAATTTACTACTACTTTTAACATTGTTAATCAAAATGAGAGAGGGCTCTCCTGCCATTCTTAGCTTGTTTTGTTGGAATTGCTTTGTCTTGTCTGGCGTTTGGATGTAACGCTAGGGGTGCACACCAAAGTCTAATTGTATTTTCTTTTCTCTCCCTTGCCATGTATATCAATGCAAGATTGTTGAAGGTGAGTTGACATTTTACAATTGATAATGGAATTGTCCTGAAGTTGTTTGTTTTGGGCTTTGTTTTGGTCTTTTGCACCAAACTTGAGCAGCATGGATTGAACCTACATTTGCCAAGAGGCAAAGCACTAAAGTGTGTGGCAAGTGTCTTAGAGAAGTGACTCGATCTATGTCTGACAGTTGCTATCAGAGCTTGTAGAGAGCATCTGACATAAAATACATCAAAGCTGCTCACAATATGTGTTCTTGTTTTCCAAATGGAGAAGTTCAGTATGTCCGATGTGGACAGTAATTTTAATTACTGCTTTCAACATTGGAGCATCTGCTTTGAATAAGATGATGTCAAAAGGTTGTTTTTATCCTGTATTACAGTGAAGGAACTAAAGAAGAAAGTTATTTGTGGTCATAGTATGCCATTTTGCTATCTAGTCTAACATGCCTCTAATTTAGTGCTGAGAAGTATTGACAAGTGTAGAATTTTTTTTTACACTTGAGTAGTCGTAGTAATTATAGGTATCAGGAAGTTAATCCTTTACACCTTTCCGACCTTGTTCTGATGATAATATCTAAGGTGTGTAAGTATGTTGTTAGCTGCCTGTTCTGTGCTCTGAATGAAGCAAGAGCAGGTAAAAAACACTTGTAATAGAAATTCTAGTTCTAAACCTATGCAAGATGACACTTCAATTTTGTGGCGATTTATGTCATTTCAATTGATTAGTGCTTGATTATCGTTACATGTACACTGGAGTTGCAGAGATAATCATTACATGTGGTTTCTGATTGTTAAAAGCAGTTATTTAACCTTTGGGTATTACAGACCAAGCGATTAATTTTTTTTTTGTCTCCTTTCATCTTGGGAAATGTAACTCCACTTTCAGGTTACCTTAACTGAGGAGGAAGATGATGAAAACTTCTAAGGAGACACTGCTTAAAGTATTATAATTTCCAAGGACTGTTCTTACAAAGACTTTTTATAGAAACTGCCTCTGAATGGGGAGGTTTGGTTTAGCATAAACAAAGTGGTACAGTTGATCTTCATACCTCAGTAAAGCAGCAAGGAACCACAGCAACTCTATCATTTACTTTTTTAGATTTAAGCATCTCTTCCATCACTTCTGAAACTTTCTGAACAATGCACTTTATTTTACCTGTGTTTTTGTTGTGTATGTGCTACCTTGCTATGCTACTTGGAAACTTTAGTCTTCTCTCTCTCTCTCTCATTCACACAGCAATTGTTGCAATTTCTCAGCATTGTATTGTAGCATCCTGCTAGTAAGAATCAGGAGAGGTAACTTCCCTTTATAGAGGAGATTTATTCACAGGTGTAGTGTAACTTATGACACCAAGAATCTTTAAGATCATGTTTTAGCTGGTTGTATGGTGAATAGAGCACGTTTTGTGTGTATATGTAGCAGAATATTTACAGTGTTCAGCCTTAATATTTAGGAAATTAGTTTCTTTATGAGTGCTTATAATCCAGCTGAATATGGTCTGTTTCAAATATGAAACGTAACAGACTATTTATACATTTCAAGGATAGTTCCAGGAATTATATGTATATTTTATCTAACTTACCAAAATTAAATTACAGAGAATCAACGACAAAGGAGAAATCTCAGACTGAGGAGCCAGAGACAGTCGGACAGCTGTGTACTGAGTAGTGATGATGAAGATGAAACAAGAGATAATGATGTATATGTGACAGATAAAGTGTCTCGAGAATTGGGATCACTGGAAGATGAAACTGCAAGTTCAAAGTATGTATGCCTTATGACCTACCAAGCATTGAAGTTTACTTTTCTTATATGTACAGGACTAAGCTATATTGCCTATAGCCTTGCTTATCTTTGAAGTCTTAATTTATTCTAGTCAGTTCCCTTCTTCAGTGAGTACAACATCACATTTTGCATGATGACCAAATGATACCATTTGCACTTGAGGATAGAAAGTCAGCTCAAGAGAGATGCCCAACTTTGCATACAGCCTTCAAGATGAGTGTGGGGGTATGGCAAGGAAGGAGGATTAGTCATAGGCCATAGCTCGTAATGAATTCCATTTACTTTTCATGCAAAGCTCTAGTAGTGATGTTAGACACAGACATATTTCTGTTGCTTTCAATGAGTCTTAGTATCATGAGACGGGCAGGCAGCAGCCTGGGAAATTCCAGTAAAAACTATTTTTCATTCACTGCTTTTTTGAACACTCTGCCAGTTAACTGCCTTTTTCTCTTGGAGCAGTAACAGTTCTTACCCAGGTATACTTACAAGGTAATTGTGGAGGTAATACTGTTATGGCCAGTTTATGTTCTGTCACATGTATGTCATGGAGCTCTGATGTGTTTGTATGTCAGATGGTGATCCTGCTTTTTGGGTCAGGTGCCTGCAGAGTAAAGACCCCATTCTGCAGAGAAACAGTAAACTCCTGCTGTAGGAGCACTCCATTATGTTCATTATGTTAAAAAAAGATGCAGTATATTAATTAAATGAAATCAGGCATCCATGTGACTAGGGAAGACAAAGAACATGAGAACTGCGGTATAAACATTTTTTGAAGTGGTGGGTGGGGGCAGAGAAATCCAAGCTTTAATGAAGCTGGGGTGTTTTGAGCCTTTTAGGTTACTGGAAGGAAATGTTTTAGGAGAGAACTTGGGTATGGAAATTTTGGGTGTCAGGCCTTTATGCCACCTTAAAGGGCTTATACTGTTCTAAAATTTAATGCGTTATGGCTGTGGATTTGTAGTTTTTTACATTTTGGTTTAGTATGTAGCTGAATAAATCCCACTAATTAGTTAATATAAAAAACCCCAATGTTTTGTTCCATCAGTCTTGGGATTCTCTGTTAAAGGATGTGCCTCCCTGCTCTATTCAGATAAGGCTGAAACAACTCAGTGCTGCAGCATTTAACATTGACAAGAAATTACTGATGCTGGAGATTTGCCACAGAGCCATTTACAGTGTTATTCTGGTGTTAGACCACTCTTAAATAAAGGTTGTCATCAATTGTAATTTCTAAGTTGGTATTATAGCTGCTGCATAAAGCATTTGAGTAGTAAAACCAGAACTACCCCCTAGTTTCACATACATAATTTAAATCCATTAGAAGTTAGTAGTGCTCACTGCTTGAATTTAAGATTATGGGATAAAGGATATCTCATGCTTTCTATTCCTGTTTAATAAATTACAAACTGTTGCTTAGCATGGGTGGTGACATAATAAAGCCAAGTGTATATGGTAGTGACTTTTGAAAGCAGCTTACTGTGATCATTTAAAATGGAGATTGATTTGTAAATAAAAGTGGCAGGAAGCTCTTTCTGATAGAGAATATTATTAGAACTCATGTTCTTTACAGAGAATAGCTATGTCGGTTATTAAGTGTGTGTGCAATACAGTTGTCCTGCTGGCTGAAGGAAAGAGAGGTACATCTGTAACCACACTTGGTAACAGCAACAAAGCTGATCCTTCTCTGAACTATAAATTTAATTTTGAAAATTTCCTCATGTTAGTGTGTTCCTGTCCTACATTTTATAAGGAAAGAATTCTTGGTATGAATGTAACAGGGCTGGGATGTAGCTAAATTAGAGTAGGGGACGTTTTAATTCTCGACAACCTCTTTCCTTTCTAGAATGAATAGTTTCCAAAGGACAGCTAGGTGCTTTTGTTACAAAACTCTTATTTATGACCTGTTGAAAATTAATACTGCCGCCCAGACGCTGCACAGTGCAGTGGACGGCTGTTACTTGTAATAATAGAGCAGGGTGACTAAGTGCATCTTCCCCCTAATGAAAACCAAGATGCCGTTTCCCTTAGGTAACGGAGACTTATTAAATGCAACAAGCTGAGAGACTCAGAGGTACGCAGGGCTCTTCAGGCGACGTGTGTCGTGGCCAGTCTGTGCAGTCAGATGATTGCGTGACTCTGTGTGTCGGTAACCCTCGAAACACGGTGACATTAATGGATGCCTGTTGCTTCTGTTTTTGTTCTTTCCACTGCAAGGCCGTCCGGTACCGTTAGCTGTCCGATTTGCATGGATGGCTACTCGGAGGTAAGGATCTACACGTTGCCATCGTTGCTCTTTTGCCGGAGGGAGAACGGGGCAGAGGGTGAGCTGCGCAAGTCTGTTGGCTTATGTGGGATGCTACAGGCAGCCGGCTTGAAGTACAGAGCTCGGTTTGAAGGTGGAGCTGGCTTGTACCTCCCAGTCACTTCTTAGTGCTGTACGTCGAGGGAGGAACACTTGCCGAGAGGGCCCCGAGAGATGCTCGGGTTCCTTATTGCTATAGTAGTAATGTACCGACTCCAGACACCCCGAGTCCTATTTGCCCGGTGCCAACAGAGCATCCGAGTCGAATTCTTCACTCCCGATTCCTGTTGCGGTTTCTTTTCTTCCAGATTGTGCAAAGTGGACGACTGATCGTGTCAACCAAATGCGGCCACGTCTTCTGCAGCCAGTGCCTCCGTGATTCCCTTAGGAATGCCAACTCTTGCCCAACCTGCAGGAAGAAACTCACTCACAGACAGTATCACCCCATTTATATATGAGTACTTCTGTTTCTCAGGACAGACTCAACTGGATTTTTGTGGAAAATGTCATGTTTTCAGTGCTCTGAAGATTTAAAGAGCAGCAGGTTGTGCACACATCCAAATAAAACTGATTTTTTTCGGAGAATAACCTGTACGCGTATAGACAGCTTTTTTATGGTCCAAGCTGCTTCTTGTTGTGTCCCTCATTCTGATGTTAATTTTATGACTGTCTCTAAACTAGACCAGCAGCCCGTATCAGAAAGGAAGCAGCTAATCCATTTCCTTCTACCTTTTTAATGCTTAAACAAGAGGGGTCTGAATATTTTGTTATTTCTCACTCTTTAAATGATTCTCTCCGTCTCACAGAGGTATGGAATAGTTAGCTTTCAAAGTGAGCAGATGAGCAATTTGCCATTTCATTACACTTTTGTTTCTATCCTATAAGCAGCTCCTGACTATATTGCTTTCTGCTATACCATCTTTGCCCGAGTAGAGTAAGTTCTGTAATGATGGACTGTTTTATCATAAATCAAAATGAAATTGCCAACCAGGGCAATGCAGCAGAATACCCTGCTGTTAACCAGCAATCAGTTCTTTTTAAGTAGAAGGCTTGAACATGTAGATGTCTTTATGAACTCCATGAGATCTAAAGTACATAGACGAAATGCAACATGTACAATGTGAAAAACATTCATAGTAGTATTTAACTGCCATGAATTCCCGTATTTGAATCACAACACTGAATTTTATTTTCTAACATGCGGAGGTGGTCTCTTGGGGTTACTACTGTTCTGTAGTGCTCTCCTGGTAACTAAGGGGAATCTAGTCTTCTCTTGGCTTGCTAGTAATGAATGAGAAGCAAATTGTATGCTCTCCTCTTGTCAGCTGAATACCAAACTACCTACAGATCTTCTTACTGTATCAAGTATACCCAGCGTCATGCTTAAAGTTCAGTGTGTTCACTTTACTGTTCTCTCCAGTTGTTACACTGACACCTGACTGGTTTTAGCCTGGTGCATACGATTAAAAATTAAATAATTGTATTGCCATGGGTTTAGTAAATGGAGGTTTTAAAAGATGTTTCATAGCAATCTTGACTTGGCAGCTTTTTGAGAGAGTTTAATCTCCCTTTGTCCTGAGGGTTGTTAAATAAGCATTTTTAAATAAGAGAAGTCAGATACATGTCCTAGAAGGGATAATTTCTCTATTTAAGCAAGGCAGGAATACACAGGTTTATGCACTATGATCCAGTCCCTTTTTTTTTTCCCAGGACTGAGGTAGAAATGTCTGCTTTAAACCTGTTACAGCTAAAATCTGCAAGCTGATGTGGAATCCCAGATGAGCTAATATAAACAGGACTATAGTAACTGCATGTAGGTGGGAAGATTAAAATAAGTATTTTATGATCCATATCTGCAGTAGCTGCATCTGTGAAAGTCCAAAATTAAACTCGGACTCTTTTGGCAGTTGGCTGATTATGAAAACCTTTAGAAGCACCGTTCTGTGCTCTGGTGCAGCACAATTGTAGGCTGTGTTTAGTTAAATCTGGTGTCTTTGCTAACCTGTTCTAGGGGTCTGTAGGAAGCCTTTATTTAAAGGGGATCTTCTAATTAGCTGTCTCAAGTTCTGTATTGAAGATTGCAACCCAAAATTAAAGATTTTTTACTAGGATGTTGAGGGATGTTTCTGGATGTAGTAATACAGAAAGAGTTTTGTTTTACCAAGACCAGCTTAAGAAATGCAACATTTTCCCCACCCTTGTTTGGAATAGCTTTGGTTCAGCATTGTTATCAGGAATGTGCAGTTTCTGCGTTGTGGCAATATGGTAACTGCGGGGAAGTTACATGCATTTAGTTACTGTGTGCTCCCCTTGGTAATATAAAATACAAGCAAGGACTGCAGGAGTCTTAGGGTAGTGTGGTGGCAACAACAGTTGGCATTTCTCTCCCAAAAAGCAGGTAATGGATGAAACAATACTAAAGATTGCTTAAAGCATTAATTGCATGAAGAGAAGCAGCCCAACATTAAAACTGTTGAGATATTTAAGGGCCATAGAAACAGCTTTCTGCCAGTGGTTTAACAAAGCGGGGGGGGGGGGGGGGGGGGGGGCGGGGAAATTATGGCCTATTTTCCTTGGGTGGCTCCTGTATGAGGGGGACAATAAGAGGAGGGTTTAAGGGATTACCTCTGGGAATGAGGGCAAGTCACATATCTGTGCATCTTTCACAGTGGACTAGCCATAGCCTAAAATGACTTTGCACAACTCCTTCCATGTAAATATAACTTTATAGTTTGTGTCTCAGTTAAGAGATCTAATTGAAATTTAGGTATTGCAAACTATAAAGTACGTAACAAAAAAGTTTTTAGCTTTTGTGTACCCTGTGAAGTGCCACAAATTTTGTGCATCTCAGTGAATTTTAAGTCTCAGTACATGGAAAAAATACTAAATTGCATTAAATGCTTTCCACAGAGGAAAAAAGAAACCCCAATACATTTGAGTTTCAGTGATGTTTCACATTGGCAAGAACTGCTAGATAATATAAAGATTTTTTTTTTCATTATGTAAATGTATGTCTTGTTGTATATAGTTCAATTTTTCCTGTATTTAATTGTATTCATGTCTGTCTGTCCCATCGACGTTGGACTCTGCTGGTAGGCAAACAGTTCTTCTAACAGATGAAAATAAAAATACCGATTTGATCAGTCAGAAGTGCTTATTCTTTTAATCACACTGTGTTAATTGATTTGGGAGGTAAAAAGAGATCTTAACTCCCCAAACCCCTTCTTTTGGCCAGGGTGTGTTGTCTGGGACGAGTGAGGAAGGTGCTGCCGGGGGTGGGAGGGCTGAGGGGATGCGGGGGGGCAGCCCTGCTCCAGGCTGGGGGGGGCTGGTGCGGGGGGGAGAGTGGGAGCCGGCCCCAGGGAGGGCTCACCTCCCGGCACAGCAGGGTGCAGGGGTGTCTCCCTCCTGTGAGGCTGGTGACAAAGCTCATGGCACTTGTTGCACACACATGTCGTGTGTGAAACACCGTGCGGGGGAGAGGGAGGGGAGGAAGGCCCCGATGAGGGCCAGGCATGGAGGGGTTTAGGTGTCACTATAAAGCTTATTTGATTTCTTCTCCAAATAGATGCTGTTGCCCTGAAGTTCTTCTCTTGTCCCTCTTATTTGCCTTTTTTTTTTTTTTTTTAAATGGAATTTCTCCACATTAAGGAGGAGAAGTTTCTATTCAGGCTGGCCATTTGTGTATGTATAAGCAATTTATACAGCATGTCCACCAGGATCATTTCCATATGCAGATACGCTACATCCACAGTCTACTGGAAGTCTTATTTATTCAGTTGGTTTTAGAGCAAGTGTTTTATGATGGGTTTTATGCTGCTGCTACTTAAGCTCATCAAGTGTATATGTTTTCTATTGATCCTTGTTTACAGCAGACTGATGCCTTTCTGCGTCTACTGGTTGCCCTGTTTTTCCCCACCCTCTCTGCCCTACTGCTGGCTGTGCTGGGAAACAGTTTTACTTCCTGGGAAGAAAAAGGCTACCTGATTTGCTGTATTTCAAAATGAGTGTGCGAAGAGAACTCACGCTGCCTGGATACAGAATGTTAGGGAAACAGTTGCTGAGGCAAGTCCTGCACTGCGGATGCAGGAGGCTGAGTCAGTTCCCAGCTTTCTCTGGCAGGGAGCAAACTGCGCCTTAGTCTTCTATGTCCCAGGTGAGAACGTCCCATGCGATTTGCTCAGATTTGCAAGAAGAGCTCTCAAGTAACTACACATTTTAGTGAGATGATTTTTTTTCTAAACATTTCCCGTTGTGTAGCAGAAATTTTAATGACCTTCTCCCTAATTTTTCCAACAACTGAGGTTGGACTAACAGCCATGTAGTTCCCGGGCCTTCCTTTATGCCTTTTCTGTAGATTGGAATAACTCCAGCTGGCTTCCAGTCAGCAGGGACCTCCCCAGACCTTTGGCAGAGATCGAGAGGGGTCCTGCTGTAACATCTGCCAGCTCCTTCAGTACTCCGGGAGGAATCGCATCAGGTTCCCTGGGCTGATACAGCTGGTCCCTTACAATTTCAGTGCCCACAAATGGAAATTCACTGTTCCTGCACTTGTGACTTGGAACCTGGCAGCTGAAGGTCTGTCAGTATTAGCAAAGACCAAAGCAAAAGTAAACAGCATTCAATGCCTCCACTTTTTTCTTCATCTCTATTAGGTGACCATTTTCAACAAGTACCAGTCTGATGTTTTCTTTAGCCCTCCTTCAGCTTTTGCAATACAGTGCCAGTTCTAAAATGAGAAAATGGGAGAGAATTGATGAGTGGTGTATTGAGTTGACTCAAGCTGTGCATAAATGTATCTTTGGGTCTGAAGATTTGTGACTGAATATAGAGAAAGTTTAAGGGGAAAAAAAAAATAAATCCAGGCTTCCTTTAATTCAAGGTTATGATTGAGTACCACTGCCATTCTATCCCACTAGATGGTCTCAGTATTTCTTAATCTGAGAACAGGTTAATAGCCTGCTAATTAGTTTTGGTCTTCCTACTGACACAGAAAAAAAAAAAAAAAAAAAGGGTGGGAGGAGGCACCAGGGGAAAGATGTTATTTTATGTGTTTAAATGATGTTTGTGTCCGTTGGTGCTCTTGTCAGATCTTGCCTGAAGTCCCTACAACTCTTGTTTAGAGAAGACTGATTACTTGGAAATTACCAACTCCAGAACTCTGGCATTAGGCATTATTTCATTTTGTCTTTGAGGCCGTAACATGATGTCTACACCCTGACAGTGGGCTTGTACCATCCCTTTTCTGGGACAGCAACGTTCATGGTCTACACAGAGCAGACAAAGTCCTATACCATCTGCAGCAATTTGCGCCTTCTAAACTGATGTAATAATCCAGAGCTGTGACAAGAGCAGTGAGCTAAGTCTTCTAGATTGTTCTGGACCGTGGAGGACTTGCATACTCCAGCTGCTTCGTTGCGAAAGCAGTGCATTAGCCTCTGTATGCATTTCTTCCCACTTGTTTGCTGAGGTTTGCTTTGTTGCAGCTAAGGGAGCATCTTTGGTCTGTTCCTGGCTGTGTACTCTTTCTGAAGGGCTGCGTGCTGGTCTTTACAGCGTATGTCAAGGTCACCATTTGGAGCAAGTGGATTTCTGCCTTGCATCCTTGTTTTGTTTGACTGCAGTGAAATAGCCCTTCTAGTAAGACTCAACTTTGGATTTCATTGCTTAACTAATTATTAAGGTTTGCTAGGGCTTCTGTGCTGTCAGACTTGCAAAAAACGTATGGGGACAGGGAATTCTAGATGGTTTGAGACACCTGGAGCAAAAAGCACCTGTGTGTCAAGAGGTGATTTTTTTCAAAGATGGGTTTGTAACAAAGCTTCATGTAGGCTCAGTCATTGGACAATGAGTTTTCTGTTAAGGCCTTTGGTTCTTCATGCAGTAAAATGCAAGTTGTCTGGCAGGCTTGATTCCACTTTACGACTTCTATTAAAGAAAATATTTCCCCTACTAATTGGCAATGCTTTGTCTTAAAAATTAATTATTTGGCTTGTTTGAGGTCCCCTACTGCCTTTCCCCAGCTCCTCATTGTGTGTTGGACACATAATTTAACAAGGAGCAAGGTTTAAGATGTGACCTTCAGTACCACACACAAACATTTCCCTGAGAGTCAATCAGTTGCTTTTCAGTTAAGCTTCATTGGGATTTCTTCTTATGATTTTTCTACCTTGCTAACAAACTAGCTTATTCTGCTGTTTAGTTTAGGAAATGAGTAAGAATGACTGAGGCTTCAGGCTCAGCTGCAGGTGTCTGAGGCTCAAAGACCAAAGTCTGGAACTTCTCCTCTAGCTTTGGACAGAAACTGGTGACTCGGGAATGGGAATCTTGGAGAGGGGTTGTATTTAAGAGGACAAACATTCCAGGTAGGTAATCTTCTCTCTTCTTTTCTTATAGGTTTGGAAGAACATTGTTCTCAGACCCTGAGAAATCTGGACTTTGTAACACTGTGTCTGCCAAAAGGACTATAAGGAATTGATACTTCCTTGTAATTGATTGCTTCCTTGCAATTAGTTTTTTGGTGTTTGTACCTCTTATTTTTCTGTGGATTTTGGATCGAGAAACACCATGAGCACAGTAAGTGTTTTACTACTCGAGGCAAACCTGATTCTTAAAGCATGTTTTTTGTGGTACTTCTACAAATGTTTTTAAGAGTTTGTAGTAAATGTACTGGGACATAAGCATACTAAAAGCTCATGTACCTTCGTGTTCTGTGATACTTCAGATTTTTGATCTCTCTAGGTGCTAGCAATAGTTCAGAAGAGCTTAGAAAAAACCCGCTATAATTGTGAGCAGGTCTTTTCACTAGCAAACCATTAGGATATGTTTTTTCTTTGTGAGCCAACTGGTAAGAGATCTGGGGTGCTGTCTTGTCCCTGATGTGACACGTTCAGGTAGGAATGACCCATTGCACCATTTGATGCATGTGATGGCCTTTCTGGGGGTTGTTTTGAGTATCCTTGTGTGCTTTCATTGGTGCTGCAAAAATGAGGGCGACGTGAATATTACTCCTCAATGCAATGCTAAGGCTCTGTTCTCTCTTAGACTCAGCGAAAGCGCCGTGGAGGAGCAGTTAATTCCCGTCAGGCTCGGAAACGAAACAGGCTGGCAGCTTCTACTGCAGAAATGGCTTCAGAAGCAGAACCAATAGAACTTGAAGAAAGTGGTAAACTTTCTTTTTAACATGGTGGGAACATAAAATGATTCTGGAGGGTTGGAGTCCGACTTATGAGGTGTTTTTGCCAGTTTCTAGGCTGCTCACTGGAGAGGAAGGGAAACCTTTTAAAAATGCCTATTATGGCATGGATAATCAACAAGCCTACTGCCAACTGGTTTACTTTGTTACTGAGGTGCAATACATTCACCACTAGTGATAGAGGAGCTGTGTAAGAAAGGGACTCAAGTGTTGCTCAAACCTGTAAATGTCTACTCTCATGAGCTGGGAGTCACTGCAGCTGCCACTACAGGTAGTGGCAAACCAAGTTTGGGAAGTCCCAAGTTTTAAGAAGATAATATAGAGATTTTGTCATTAGTCAGGCTGCATCCCTCAAGGGAACATTTGCAGCACAGTACTGTAAAATTATTATATCTTACAGGATTCATGTTTTATTCTGTGTGATAAACCTTCTCCCGTTAGCTGAATAATCTGGTGCTGTGTACCTCCCACAAGCTGTTGTCATACAACAAAACTGAGTGAGGAACTCGGCCGCTCTTCCTCTTGCATTGCAACTTGCAGAGGACACTGGTGGTAATGCTCTAGATGGACTGTTGAGGGCAAAGCTTGAGTGAAATGCTGGATACGTTCCTGAAGAGAAGAGGGATACGGCAAGGTTGAATCATACCTCAGCCTGTTACATAGTGGCAGGCAGTTTTATTCCTCTGTAATCTCTGATCTTGATTCTAACATTTTGTTTTTAAGCTGGTGAAGAAGTAGTAGATCTCACATGTGAATCTTCTGACCCTGTAGTCGTTGATCTAACTCACAATGATTCTGTTGTGGTAAGTCACAAACAGCACACTTATCCAAATCTTGTAGTCAAGATACTTTTCTGTTGTGCTTCTTGATAGACTCTCGCTTGAAGGATCAGTTTTAAGGTCAAAGTTGACTTGTCAGTGCATGAAAGCCGTGTGTTATGGGTCAACACAGAAGCTGCTCTGGAGGTGCTGCTTAGCAATCCTTTTCCTGGGCACTGCAATACAGCCTTGTTTTCCCAGATTATTGTAAAATTTCATGCGCACTTTTGCTGAAAAATGGATGGTTAAATGTTTATACAAGAATTTTGACCAATTAGCCAGTCTTGAGGTGATCATATGTCTTTTCATTGTGTAGACATAATGATAAATACATTTCAAGTATGACATTATCTAAGGATGTAGACCACTCATTTGCTACATGTTAGTCTAAGGATCAGAGGAAATCCGATATACTTGTCATGGCACAATCATGAATGTTTATACAGAATCCTAATAGTAGCTACTAAGCTTGAGGAATTTAGAAGGCTGAATGCTAAGGCTCTACTGAAATGTGCATTTGACCTATATATGAAGATCTGTACAGTAAAAGTAAATGGATGTCATGAATGCAGAAATAAAACTTAGGCTTAATCCTTACAAAGTTTGGGTCATAGTTTACCAAGGCGTATAGATATTCAAAAACTCATCTTCTGGTCTTGTCTTCTGGCATCTACAAAGGTATCCTGACTTAAGGGGTTAAAACACAGCTCTGATTTACCACTTTAGATGGAGTTCACATTCAACCTCAAATGGGCCCAGGAATGCATCAACATCTACAACTATTACTCATATCCCCAGAACATGGGGAAAATATATACTGTTCATGGGTAATGTAACATAAGGAGATGCAGTTTAAAGTTTAAGCTATTCTAGATATATCAAAGATATAGGCCAATGATTTAAATAAAAAGTAAAGGAGATAACAGTTAATCTTTGACTTCATAAATATGATGTTTATCAGCAAGGTTGGTTTAAGGCACTTCTGTCAGAGAGATGTCACATACAACTGTAGCTGACTGTGGTACAAACTAGTTCAGTTTATTACTCCAAGAAGTCTTTAAAAAATCTGTTGTTTACAGATATTTTTAAAGCTAGAATAGTATTTGATCAGATACACAGTGTAGTTGAGAACATCTGTTTTGGGATGCCACTGCTGCTGCTCAAACCAGAAACAAGCAGGAGGAATAACATGGGGTTATCTCCTGTTGGAATTGTTTCTGTGCCTTTGCAAAGAAAGGTCTTCAAACTTGATAACATAATCCGCATTGTCCGAGGTCTAGTTCCACCAAAGACAATAGTGGGTTTGGGATCGTTTGTTTCTTCAGCAGTTGTTAATCTAACATGAAGTGTTTATGGATATCACACATGAATTGGCCTGTTTCGGGGAGGAAAAGGGAAAGAATCTGCAGCCTAAATCAAATTGGGGTACTGAAACTGGGGAGCAGGAAGGAGGGCATTCACATGGTTCATAAGATGCCTCCATTTCTATCCCTTTGCAGCATCGCGAACAGAACCAGGTGCAACCACTTGTTTTCAGAGCAGCAGCTAATTTACTACTACTTTTAACATTGTTAATCAAAATGAGAGAGGGCTCTCCTGCCATTCTTAGCTTGTTTTGTTGGAATTGCTTTGCTTGTCTGGCGTTTGGATGTAACGCTAGGGGTGCACACCAAAGTCTAATTGTATTTTCTTTTCTCTCCCTTGCCATGTATATCAATGCAAGATTGTTGAAGGTGAGTTGACATTTTACAATTGATAATGGAATTGTCCTGAAGTTGTTTGTTTTGGGCTTTGTTTTAGTCTTTTGCACCAAACTTGAGCAGCATGGATTGAAACTATATTTACCAAAAGGCAAAGTACTAAAGTATCTGGTGAGTATCTTAGAGAAGGGATCATATTTGTGTTTCACAGTTGCTATCAGAGCTTGTAGAGAGCATCTGACATAAAATACACCAAAGCTGCTCGCAATACGTGTTCTTGTTTTCCAAAGTGGACAGTAATTTTAGTTGCCACTTTTAGCACTAGAATATCAGTTTCGAATAAGAAAATTTCAATAGCTTTTTTAGCCTATATTGCAGTGAAGGAACCAAAGAGAAAGTTACAGACTATTTTTAATCATGCATTTCAAGGATAGTTCAAGGGTTATACATTTTATAATATATCTAACTTACCAAAATTAAATTGCAGAGAATCAACAACAAAGGAGAAATCTCAGACTAATAGGCCAGCAACAGTTGGATATCTGTATACTGATTAGTGATGATGAAGACGAACCAAGAGATAATGATATGTATGTGATAAAGTGTCTTTCTGAAGTCTACTTTCTGATATACAGTAGAAACGGATTTTTCCTAAGCTTTTGGGTTCTGTTGATTACTGTATGAAAATTGCAGACCTAAAATAGAATTGCATTTATAGAAGAGAGCTCATTCAACAAAAGCTCAAGAAAGCCAACACAAACTTTTGTTCTGCTGTTCATGAAATCATTATCTAATGTAACTTGCAGTACAGCTTGAGATACACTGAAATGCTTGCCATACATAAAAGACACAGCCAGACATTCTGAAAATATCCTTCATAAAATCACCCAATTTGTAAAGAAAGAGTTCTTGGTATGAATGTAACAGGGCTGGGATGTAGCTAAATTAGAGTAGGGGATGTTTTAATTCTCGACAACCTCTTTCCTTTCTAGAATGAATAGTTTCTAAAGGACAGCTAGGTGCTTTTGTTACAAAACTCTTATTTATGACCTGTTGAAAATTAATACTGCCGCCCAGACGCTGCACAGTGCAGTGGACGGCTGTTACTTGTAATAATAGAGCAGGGTGACTAAGTGCATCTTCCCCCTAATGAAAACCAAGATGCCGTTTCCCTTAGGTAACGGAGACTTATTAAATGCAACAAGCTGAGAGACTCAGAGGTACGCAGGGCTCTTCAGGCGACGTGTGTCGTGGCCAGTCTGTGCAGTCAGATGATTGCGTGACTCTGTGTGTCGGTAACCCTCGAAACACGGTGACATTAATGGATGCCTGTTGCTTCTGTTTTTGTTCTTTCCACTGCAAGGCCGTCCGGTACCGTTAGCTGTCCGATTTGCATGGATGGCTACTCGGAGGTAAGGATCTACACGTTGCCATCGTTGCTCTTTTGCCGGAGGGAGAACGGGGCAGAGGGTGAGCTGCGCAAGTCTGTTGGCTTATGTGGGACGCTACAGGCAGCCGGCTTGAAGTACAGAGCTCGGTTTGAAGGTGGAGCTGGCTTGTACCTCCCAGTCACTTCTTAGTGCTGTACGTCGAGGGAGGAACACTTGCCGAGAGGGCCCCGAGAGATGCTCGGGTTCCTTATTGCTATAGTAGTAATGTACCGACTCCAGACACCCCGAGTCCTATTTGCCCGGTGCCAACAGAGCATCCGAGTCGAATTCTTCACTCCCGATTCCTGTTGCGGTTTCTTTTCTTCCAGATTGTGCAAAGTGGACGACTGATCGTGTCAACCAAATGCGGCCACGTCTTCTGCAGCCAGTGCCTCCGTGATTCCCTTAGGAATGCCAACTCTTGCCCAACCTGCAGGAAGAAACTCACTCACAGACAGTATCACCCCATTTATATATGAGTACTTCTGTTTCTCAGGACAGACTCAACTGGATTTTTGTGGAAAATGTCATGTTTTCAGTGCTCTGAAGATTTAAAGAGCAGCAGGTTGTGCACACATCCAAATAAAACTGATTTTTTTCGGAGAATAACCTGTACGCGTATAGACAGCTTTTTTATGGTCCAAGCTGCTTCTTGTTGTGTCCCTCATTCTGATGTTAATTTTATGACTGTCTCTAAACTAGACCAGCAGCCCGTATCAGAAAGGAAGCAGCTAATCCATTTCCTTCTACCTTTTTAATGCTTAAACAAGAGGGGTCTGAATATTTTGTTATTTCTCACTCTTTAAATGATTCTCTCCGTCTCACAGAGGTATGGAATAGTTAGCTTTCAAAGTGGGCAGATGAGCAATTTGCCATTTCATTACACTTTTATTTCTATCCTATAAGCAGCTCCTGACTATATTGCTTTCTGCTATACCATCTTTGCCCAAGTAGAGTAAGTTCTGTAATGATGGACTGTTTTATCATAAATCAAAATGAAATTGCCAACCAGGGCAATGCAGCAGAATACCCTGCTGTTAACCAGCAATCAGTTCTTTTTAAGTAGAAGGCTGTGCAGACACATAGGCTGTTGTGATGGGTGAGTCCTTGCTGCGTCAGTTAAACCCTTGGTGGTCTTCTGCTGAAATACCAGATCCATTAGAACTACCCTCTCATCTGCAGTCAGATTTGATGCTTTGGTGGGACGAAGCATGCAGCAATAGCAGAAAGCTGTTCTCATCTGGGGTCTGATTCTAGATCACATTTTGGGGAAAGAGAATGCGTAAATACAAAATATGAGCCAGATGTTAAATTTTGTTTAAACTGAAATCCAAATCCAGGGAAGGCCTGTCCTGGGACAGGAAGCCAGGTAAGAAGCCTGGTGCAGGGTTTAGGTGGATCATGTAGTCTCTGGGATGCTCGCAGTGCTGCAGTGTCTGTAGTGAAGGGTGAGATGAGTGGGGAGGGTGGTCCTGGGGGCTGCAGTGGAGACCAGTGCTCTAGAGTGGGGACCAGTGCTGGAGCATCACGGCCAGAAACTGTAACTACAGAGCAAAGTGCAGGGATGTGTGAGCAGCCAGGTGACAAATGGGTATCACAAAGGGGAATTGCCAAAGGTGAGCGTTGGTGCACGTCAGACAGATCAGTTTAATGAGGCCACAGCTGCTGCGACGAGCCACTGTGTTCTGGCTGCAGAGCTTAAACCTCGATTTGCCTGGGTGAGGTCTCACAGGGTGTTGACAGAGCTCTGAGGCGATGCTTACAGGTGATGCAGTGCTATCTACAAAGCCTTTGTTAACTGTAGAAATGTATGTCCTTGCATTGTGTCTGATCTACACTTGGTGGCAGCGAGTGCTAATTTCATATGTCTGTTTAAATATTTTCTTCTCTAAGTCAAGAGTATGTGATTGAGCCTTTGGGCTTGTGAGCACGTTTTAACCTCAAAATAGTTTATGTCTTTTAATCTCTTGTGTTGCCTGATGATGTGAAACCCAGTTTGGCTGTTTCTGCAGTGCTCTGTTTCATTATGAATGAAAATGTGAGTGGGGAGCTGCTTATTTCTAAACCTGTTTCCTTTCTCAAATTGCACAAACAAGATATTAGCATTAAAAACCTTACACATAAAAATCATGGGTGATGATATTGATTATGATATTGATACAGAGGTAACAGAAGTCAAGGGATTAATGGTCTCAGAGGTCTGTCTATGCAAGCAATTGCAGACATCCATTTTAAACTCACTTCTATTATTTATATGGAAACTTGTTTCCCAGAGAGTACACAAAATGCATTCACATCTATCGAGGGATTCTCCTTGCTTCCCAGGGAAGGTGAAGGGCCTCTGCTTCCTCTGGCAGTAGTTTACCCCTCATTTCCTTTAGCAAGCGTTCATCTCTTCGATATCTGCTCTGATCTCTTCTGCCCTTTCCAGTGCCCAGGGGCACACACGGCAGCAGAGCGGAAGCAGAAGCAGCTCCTGGCTCTGCACCCTCCACTCCTGCAGAGCATCTGAAGGTGCCAGCTTAAATATTCTCCCTACCGCAAAGATCTCAACTGAGGCAAGGTCCTTGCTGTGCTCCGTGAGTTCACACTATTGCTGATGGCAGAGACATAGAGCAAGGGCACCTCGTGGCTCTGTGGGATGGGCTAGATGGAGCAGCATTATTTTTTTTATGCAAACTCCTGCGTAGTTCTTTTTGCATATTTTGATTTGCAGCATCATGACAAGTGGGCACTTTATAATTAGCGTGATTAAAAGTGCACACATTGCAGTGGAAGGAAGCGTGTAAATTAGGCATTAAAACTCTGCTGCAAGGAGGTGGTCTGCTATGGCTTCTTTCCTTTGCCATATATTCCTCCATAAATCTCATTCCAATTCTTGCTTTGTGGAGGAAGTGTATGAAGCTGTGGCTATTTCAGTGACCAATGTTCCAACACAGTTTCCCCAAATCATTTATTAATAGCCACAAAGATTGTAGCTTATTTCTAACTAATTCAGCAATCAAAATTTTAGACATGGATCATGCATATATTTGTGCCTTCTTCCTTGCTGGAGTGCAGACAAATGAATTTTAAAAATAGCCTGGAGTGAAGGTTTAAGTCATTCATTTTACAAGGCTCTTTAAAAGCTTCTTTTCTAACCTGCCAAATTATAGGATGGTTATAATTTGTTTAAGTCTTTCAACATTTAAGAAAATTCTTGCTGCATATTGAAGCATTAGTACCCCTTAGCTGAGTAAATTGAGCGTGGGGCTGCGGGAGCAGCCAGAACTCTGCTGGGGAAGAAAGGTGTCTGCTCAACACGAGGTCTCATGAATTGCAAAGAGCTAATTAGAAGAAATGCTTGCAAAAGACTGAATTTCTGACACTTCTGGCTAAAACATATTTGAAGTGCTTTTGTCATACCAAGGGCTCTCTGTCAGTAGAAATAGTTTATTAGGTTTTGCCATCCAGTGTTCCTTTTATTTTTGCCTGCTCCTACCTCTTGCATTTGAAGGCAGAGAGCACTGCACAGAAAGCAGTGCTGCTCGGCTCTGTGACTGTCACCACTGCTCAGAAAGAAAGGAGACTTCCAGCTGGAGAGGCTTGGACCCTGAAACCAATTTTTTAGTTATTTTTATCTGACCAGCAAAAATCAGACAGTTCCATACATTTCTACAGCCATCTGCAGGAGCTGCAAATTGTCCCCCAGAGCCGCTGTCTGAAGGGAGCAGTGAGGAGCGATTCAAGTGGTGCTGGAGGCTGGCGACTTGAGAAATGCCGCCTGGTTCTCGGGTGTGAAGTCAGGCAGAGCCTTCCTTTTGGAGCCTCCTCTCCTGCAAAAGTGGGGCTGTTGTTTGCCCTGTGTTCAAGGGAAAAGTCTGGCGCCTTGTTTGCCGGATCTGCTGTGAACCCACCACTCCCTCTGACATCAATGGGGTTTCACAGGACCAGAGCAGGGCAATACCTATTCATCTGGAGAGATGAATGAAATAATTGTGCTGGGTGCATAGCAGCTCCTTGGAAATGGAAGGGAAGTAGGATGGGTTTGATATTAAAGAAATGAAAAGTAAAGCTGTGTATGCTCTTGTTATACCTCAGCATTCCTACCTAGATATTGTGTAGGATTTTATTGGTTTTATTATTGTTTCATATCTGTTAAGATGACTAGAAAAAGCTTATTTTGATCTTCTTTTGAAAAAAAATGTTTATGTATTCATATATCTATACTATTCTGTACACTGATTTTACAGCTGAACTTGCAATGCTTGGATATTCTGGACAGGAGTGAGACTGTAGGCTCTAACCTCCTCAGTTCTCCCTCTGGGTTCCACATTTGAATTAGCAAATATCCACAAGCCTGCACCCTTACTATCTGAGAGATCCCTGGGGTAAGGTGTTGTGTTTATAGGCTGGGAAATACCTACGGTCCTGGGCTTGTGTCCCGCACTCCTCGTTCCATGCCGTGCTGATGCCCAAAGCCATGACTAGACCAGACGAGGACACAGAGCAGTTCACTGGGTTAGAAAACTCTGTGTGTCTGTTTTAGCTTAGATCCAACACTTAGGAAGAGTTTGGGGCTGTTGCTAGGGCTAGCCTGGTGGTTGACAGTGCAGTTTTGGCTTGTTCCTGGACAGGCAGGATTCCGAGGGCTGGGGTTCACCTACCCAAACTGAGTTACGCTGGTTGCAGCCGCATCACCCTGGACCCCACAGGAGAGACCATCCAGCCCCCCGGATGCATTGACCGCATGGACAGGAGGAGTTGACAGAATGAGGGGGACTTGGTTTCATGACAATCCTTTGTTTGGGGTTTTGTGATGTGTCTCCCTATTTTTTGATTGTGGGGATAATCAAAACATATAAGTAGGATGAATCCAAGGTGGGGAAATATGCTGTTGGCTGGTGCCACACCGTTTTGGTGTGGACACACACCCTGACAGAGGTCTGGGATTAGTGTTTCTAACCAAAATCCAAAGCATATGTGGATGTAAGCCACCATCATCTTTATTTTTTCATATCAAAGAATCATAAAATACCAGGCTGGAAGGGACCTCAAGGTTCATCTGGTCCAACCTTCTTGGCAAAAGCACGGTTAAGACAAGATGGCCCAGCACCCTGCCCAGCTGAGTCTTAGAAGTGTCTGATGTTGGGGAATCCACCACTTCCCTGGGGAGATTATTCCAGTGGCTGGTTGTTCTCATTGCGAAAAATTTTCCTCTTGTGTCCAATCAGAATGTCCCCAGGAGTAACTGGTACCCATTATCCCTCGTCTTTCCCATGTGACTCCTTGTAAAAAAGGAGTCTCCATCCTCTGTATAGCCACCCTTTAAAGACTGGAACATGGTGATAAAGTCTCCCCTAAACCTTCTCTTCTCAAGGATTAACAACCCCGGTTCTCTCAGGCTTTCCTCAGATGCCAGGCTTCCCAGTCCCTTGATCATCTTTGGGGCCCTCCTCTGGACCATTTCTAGCCTGTCCACATCTGTTTTGCATGGTGGGGACCAAAACTGAACACAGTATTCCAGGCGTGGACTGACAAGCGCTGAGTAGAGTTGGATAATGACTTCTTTATCTCTACTGGTGATGCCCTTGTTGATGCAACCCGGCATTCTGTTGGCTTGTTTTTCA